AAAAAAAAAATGGCCAGGGCAGCGTGCCAAGAAGAAGAACCAATACTAAACCAATTCTAAACTGTACTGAGTCAACTGAAAAGAATACTGAACTAATACTAAACCAATTCTAAACCGTAGTGAGCCAGCTCAAAGGAATACTGAACTAATACTAAACCAATTCTAAACCGTAGTGAGCCAGCTCAAAGGAATACTAAACCAAGACTAAACCAATTCTAAACCGTAGTGAGCCAGCTCAAAGGAATACTAAACCAAGACTAAACCAATTCTAAACCGCAGTGAGCCAGCTCAAAGGAATACTAAACCAGTACTAAACCAATTCTAAACAATACTTACTGGCAAACTACTCAGGCAGGTCCCAGTCTGACCCCCATTCTGTTTTTGGGGTTGTCGCTGTTGATTCCCCCCAATTCGTTTGAGGGGGGGGGCCTTTATTAATCACTCTCCAACATTAGGCAACAGGCAAGTCTCCTGGATGCTGCTGGGCAGGAAGAAGTCACGGGACAGCAGAAGGAGCGAGTTCCTGGGACCCGCCCTACTCCCCCGGAAAGAAATTCACGCTACGAGCTGGTCCGATAAGCTGATGCTTCCAAGCGGGCCCAGCAAATTGACGGAACCCCCCCCAAAAAGGCTCCGCTGAACCCACAAGGGGGAAATTTCGATCCTGAAAGTGACGGGCTTTGGGTTCCGTGTTAAATGGGGTTTGCGCCCGAGTCTACTGTGGCTTCCCGCTAGAAGCCCGTTTCATGACTCTTTCAGCCCGCAAGGGCACGGAGACCAACGAGGCCCGGCCACTTTTCGGCCTGTTTGAGACTCCGGAAAAAAAAATGCACGCTGGAAATTCCATCCGCCAAGCATTTGCCTGGCTATTGACTGGTAAAAACCTCGAGACCTTCTGCTGGGACTTGGAACTCGCGCTTCGAGTTGTCAAAGTCAGACATCGGGGGGCGGAAATTCCGTAGCCAGCTCGGCCCGGTGGCTCGGTGTCCCATTTTCCAAATCCAAACCACCGATTCACGCCAAGCAACACCGATGCAAAAAGGGGGCTTCGGCAAGTCTGACGCACTGAAGCCCCACTAAGAAGGGACCCCAATCAAAATCCAGGGTTCCTCTGGGGAATCACCCCACCTCCAAACCTCAGTTGCTTTCTGCTCCCCTGCAGAAGAAGTTCAACTCTTAGCGGTTTGGTGGGGAAAGCCCATGGGTTGGCCAAGCAAAATGCGCCAAAGATAAACCTCCAAAAACCTCCCCCGGCTTTCGAGTGGAGGCGCTGGTCGCGCAGGCCGTCCATGCTCTTGGGCCTCACGCACTCGTAGCGCTCCGACACCCGCGAGCGCCGCAGCAGGTCGCAGAAGGTCGCGGCGGCCTCCTGCAGGCAGATCACGTCGGCCTCGGTTCGCGCGGCCTTCCCCCCGCAAAAGCTAAACGGAGAACCAAACTCTTCTGGGCTGCCCGTGTTCAGATCTCCTGCTAAAAGTGACTAACTTTTAGTGGGTTAAATGGAAACCAAAAGGCTACAAAGCGAAAGGTCCTCCAGTAGAGAGGATAGAATAAGGGTACCCGATTTTTCTCTGTAGTAGGGGAACCCTCTCCCAAAAAAAGTGTAAAAGGGCACTACGGGGGACCTAGAAGCAAAAAAAGACACAAACAACAACTCCCAATGACCAGCAGGGAGAAGCACAGAATCGAAGAACAAACATGACAATAACATCAAAGGGACAAAAACACTTCCTGGCAAATGATCATGATTCACCAACTCTTTCCTGCTTCCCATGTGGAGCCGGTTAGCTTCCTGTTCGGATCGGTTTGGCTCGGTTTGTGGGCTGTTCAGAGACTGAGTTGGGGAAGCCTCCTTTTGGCTTCCCTGAGAACGACTTTTGCAACCTAGTGGCTAAACCATGGTGGTCAAAAAGTGTTACTTAAAGTTCTAGGGGCAACTTCCATTTCCATTCTTTCCAGGGATCCGGATCTTCTAGAAAACCTCCTTTGAAACCCAGGGAAAACGGATCCGGTTTTTGGAAGAACCTTCAGGTTGAAAAGAATGGACCAGGAATCAAACCCTAGAAAAGTGGAAGTGCACCAGGCTGTTTCCCTTGGGTTTTTGATGGTTTCCTGAAAAGAAGGATTCCTGGAAAGAATGAGGAAGGTACCCCTAGAAATGTTTTGGATGGTCAAACAAGTTTTTACTTCAAGTGGAAGGGCACCAGGTGGTGATTGTGTCAACAGAATCTTGCAGCCAGCGGCCGAGGCGTAACTCCTCTCGAGTATCTCTATGGTGCGGCGGGTCTTGCCCACGTAGAGCTTGTCACCTTGGCATATGGGCTAGGAATCGGCCCCCCGTCCCAAAAACAAACATGGCGCAACGGTTTTCCTGTTGGCTTCCCTTTAAAACCACCAAAGAAGGGGTACCAACCCCAAAAAAGACACACCCACATGCCCGTGTCTTTTCCCAAATTGGGCTGCCTGTCATCACATAAATCAAATCAGGCATGGCCTGCATCATGTATCCCCCTTCCAAAAGCCCATGTTGAAGGCTCCAATTGAGCAAAAGGTGGACTTCCCGCGGGCTGGTTCCTGAGACCAAGGGGGGCAAGGGGCGCGAAAGCTATGCGCTCAAGAAGAAAGAAGGTGGAGGTCAAGGCAATAAACAATCCATCGCCTTGCAGCTTCTCAACCTATGTGCGTCCAAGCGCAAGCCCTGCAAGCCCGCTGAGAAAGAAGCCAGCCAGCCCCACCAAAAAAGAGGGAAGCTGATTGTAGGAAGTAAGAGGTCTGGCAGCTAGCGACCCGGATGGCCAGCTTCTTCTCCGCTTTTAAGCCAGTCCTTTCTTGCCGGCCAAGATTAGAGAACCCTGTGACCATAGGTGTCCTTTTTGGTTGTTTTGCTCGAAAAACATAGATGGCAATTCCTGGTTTACCTGGTGGTTTTTGCTCATCTACCAGGGCTTCCCCATCTATTTGCAACCTAACAGGACACCTTTGCCTGTGATTCGATCATGCAGTTTGGGTTGCAGCTTGAGGCTGCAAGAGTCAGGAGGCAATAGTCAGGTCCCCTCCAGTGGTCACATTTTGAATTTTGGTTCTGCAACATAGTTTGGATGGTTTCCCTTGAAACAACCAGGGAAGGGTGTGGTTCCTTTTTGGTTTCGGGGAACCCCCAAAATAGTGGCTATCCTTTTGGTTGCCCTTTAATCAGGGGTACCCTCAACAAAAAGACACCCATTTGGAGGGTGATTTTGAGGATGTCACTTTGGACGGCACAGCTGGAACGGGAAGGATTGACTGGTTGCCACTTGCAGGCGAAATGTTGTGGTGCTGTGCTCTCCACAGAGGGCAAATTCTAGGGGTTTATTCGCCATTCTTTTCAACCATCCTTCTTTCCAAAAACCAGCCGTTTTCCCTGGATCCAAACCACGAACAAAAGGGTTGCCTGGCTGCGTGATGCAATCTATCCCACGTACCCAATGGCGTGTTCTCACAAAAACGAGCACGGATCTTGTTTTCTCCCGGCAAGGCCCACAGGCTTGCTGCCAACAAAGTGTCGCTCTCGGAAGCCAACAAAGCGTTGTCTTGCACTTTGACAATTGGTTCGAATTGGGAAAGCGGACAACACCCAAATGGCTGTGGTACCAAAATGGCTCCTTGGGAAATGGAACCAAAGACTAAACCTGAAACCTGGCTCTTCAGTTTTGAGCCACACCCAAATAGACAGCTTGCTCCAAAAAGTCTCAGCGATTCGGTGGAAGAGAATCGCCCTTCGACCGAGCTGCAGATCTCGCTCTTCACCGTTTGCCAGGAGCCGTCCGGAGAACAAACATGCCTCAGGATATCCCATAACGTGGCGCCTGGAAACCCATCATTTGGCAGTGTCTTCCTGTAAAAATCCCAAGATGGTGTTTTGTTTTTTTTCCTGGTTCAAAAAAGACACCCTGGTGTTTGCTTGCAGACATGTCTGACCGCTTTCAGAACTTACCTGCTTGGCCATCGTGCTTTGATCGCAGTGTCCCGCAAAGGATATGTCATACACGGTGTCCGTGCCCCTTCCCAGTCTCTCGTCCCCCGATGTCGTTATGTTCTATGGTTGCCCTTCCAGGAAAAGCAAAACGATCATACAATCCATTCCAGTTCCCAGTCTCTGGATGGAAAATCGCGTCTGCACAAATTCTGCACAACTCCCCAAGTGAAAACAAGGAATCTTCTAGCCGGTACATCTTGCTCGTCCCCCACCCAAGTCCAAGTCGCGGGAGGGAAATCAAGACAACTCAGCCCATGAAACTTGGATCCCCCGCTCAAAGTCTTTAACCTTTAGTGGGTCAAATGGAAAACCCCACTAAACGCTAAAAAGATCTCAAAAGCTAAGGAACCGGATAGCTGGGAGCCACCAAGATCCACGAAACTCGGCCGGGCGGCATGAGGTGGACCAAGATCGCATCCTCAGCACGCTTTCGTTTTTCCGCCCTCAGCGGCGGCCGCACTACGAGAGCTAAGATTCAGGAGAAGGGGGAGCGTGAACCCCGTATCAAAATGATGTTCCTTGAAATTCCTTTAAAACCACCACAAAAAAGGGGTACCCTCAAAAAAGACAAGCCCATGTGAAACTGGGAAATCGAATGGGGTCACCGAAAAGCTAAGGTTGTTGGTGAATGAATAATGATAATATATATATATATATATATATCCAAACTAATATATTCAGCATAATATGATCCAACTCCCAATTAACAACTTTACTCGAATCCCAATTAACAACTTTACTCTAATCCAAACGAACAAAATAATTCATGTAAGTTTGCATTAAAATCACTTCAACCATGTCAGTGATTGTAAACCAAAGATAAATGAATTTATTTGAAAAGTGAGCTAGTGTGATGGCTTCCATTCAACTGGCTTCCATTGAAACGGACATTCGCCTTCCCAACGCGATTTCATCGTGAGGGCCAACGTTCTTCCTGGTTTTGCCCAACTAGAAGTGGTTTTTTGAATGCATCTAGGGGAGGGCCAACGTGTTTTTTCCAGGTTTTCCCCAAGAAGCGGCGCTTGAATTCATCCAGCGGACTCCCAACTCCTGACATCACCCGCCGATCCGATCCGATCCGATCCGCTCCGGGCGGCGAAGATCGCCTGGCAGAGGAGCTGCAGCGGGATCGCCTCGGATCCGATCCGATCCCAGCGAGCGGATCGACGCCGATCCGAGCCCTTTTGCGTCCTAAGAGGTGGGAGATGTTAGGCCGAGAAAAACCCATCCGAGATGGCTTCCTTTAAGGGAATCCCGGCTTCCGGTTCATTGGGAATGAACCCGGACTCGGCCATTCCCTACTGAGCACCAGTAAGAAAATAACACGATATTGCTGTGAACATGCGGGCTGATCAAACGGTCCGACTTTGCATGGGATGACCATTGCTTGGAAAACCAAGAAGAAATGATGCTAATTCAACCACTACACAAGGTTCTTCCCGGTTACCACGGTTCTTCCAACCAATAGTCGATGGGGTAGACTGAAAGTGGTGTTCCCATGGGTAGAACGGGAAAAGTCACCCATGGCTCTTCCAAAGGAAAAAGGAAAGGGATCGCAATCCCGTGGGCGGTTCCTCCTGCAGTCAGGCAGCGACATGACCAGTGCGATAGTCCAAACTTTTTTGGATCTTCGCGGGGCTTGCCGCCGTTCCCATCCGTGGCATCTATGGCATGGATGCACCCAAGTTTGAGCAGTGCCAAAGCCCATTGGCAGCTGGTTCTGCCAAAATGGGAAGGTTTAGATAGGCCGTGGCAAAAACCTTGTCAAACCAGGAAGTAGATATCCTTCAAGAGATGGCCAGCAGGAACCATGTCAACCTCGGATTATAGATCCCCTTCAAAAAATGGCCAGAAGGAACAATGTCGACCCCGGATCATAGATCCCCTTCAAGACATGCCCAGAAGGAACAATGTCGAACCCAGATCATAGATCCCCTTCAAAAAATGGCCAGAAGGAAACACGGATCATAGATGCCCTTCAAATATTTGCCAAAGAAATAATGTCGACCGCGGATCAATGAACCAGGTGGATCATTGCCTCTCAAAGCTCCCTATATACACATATATATATATATATATATGTCTCCCTTCAGAGGAAACTCTCTTTGAATCAGATTCCCCACCGGCCCTGATGCTCAAGACTCCACCCTTTAAGGGACGAGTACAACACTTGGATCAATCTTGGGTTTTCTCCTTTTGGGTTCCCGCCAAAGGTGATGCCCACAAGGTCTATCCATCTTCCGAGCTGCAAGTCTTTCCTCCGCCGGGGTGATGGCAGGATATTTGCCTCAGGCGTGTGATTTGTGACCGACTCCTTCGTGGGGGGCGGGTGACCGACTCATACTCAGAGCTGCGAGTCTCGATCCGGTCGAGAAGGGGTTGGAAAGATCAGCTTTTCGGGTGTTTGCCTCCACTGCCCAATCATAAGCGCCAGGGTCCATCATATCCTTCCGGAGCCTCTCTCTGGCCCGTCACACGCAGCCAAGCCAAACGAGCCCAATGCCCAACGAAGTGATTCCTTTCGCCGAAGAATCCAACGGATCATCAGCCCCCGAACTCCCATCATGTCAATCAAAAACTCCTTGCCACGAGGGCGTTGGCCCTTTGAGGCAAAGATCTGCATATCATTTTTGGCGCCTGAGGCTTGCACTGCAGGATTAGGGTTGGGCCAAAACACAATTCCTGAACCAACCCTTTGGTGTCCCTTTAAGGAGCCCCAATTTCAGGTGAATCTGACAGCCTCCGATTGGTTTCTATGGGGACGAACCCTATGCAAAAAAAAAAGAACGGCGTTTACCTACGAAGGCTGCTAAGGTTTACGGTGGGTGTGTCTTTTTTGAGACCGCAACCTTCTGGGCGCCTAAGCCAAAAGCTTCAAACGCCCACCCTGCGCCGTGCCACTTTTCGGAATGGGCTCCAGCATGTGGCAAGGCCGCTGGACGCGAGCGAGCCCGTCTTGCGCCCTAGCCGCATCCAGCTACGCGCAGCGGGGGGAAGAAGGGGGGGGGAGGGAGGCGGCGGTGATCCCCCCTACCTTGAGGGGGAGAGGGGGGGGTCCCAAATCCATTTGTCGAGTATTCTCCGCAGAAGGGACAATGGAACCAGAACCGAAAAAAATTCTAGGGTCACCCCCCTCCCCCAAGTCCATTTTTTGAGAGGCTGGGGATGGGGTCAGGACTTGTGCGTGAACCCAAGCCTCAAAGTTGTCAAAGCCAATCCCAGGCAAATGGCCCATGGTCCATACCGAAACCCAGCGCCATACCGAAACCGACTGACTCCCACTGCGGAAAACTTCACGCGCGCAAGCGCCAACACGAAAACGTCAAACCCGGAAGCCCTTCTGAGCTCTTTCCGAAAAATGCCTTCTTCTCCGGGCGGGGAAAGCATCCTCCCGGTTTTGCCTGTGAGCAGATTTTTATTTCCCAAGCTGATCTCCCCAAAAGGAGTACCCCTGGGTTCAAGTCCACTTTGGTCCAATGGGTTTCCAACGAGAAGCTTTGACTGGACTCTCGCCCCCGCCTGACAGCCAATGCCTCCAGGAACATGAACCTGCGCTGCGCTCCCATTTCAAGAAACCTTCCAAAATCGATGCCAACTATCCACCCAATACCGCATCTGGAGGCCAACTTCCGACTTGCTCCAGAACTTCGCAACCGTTCGCTTCGTGGAAATTCCGAATCCCAGCGGCATTCTCCGAAACCCCGGAGTGGAACACGGGGGCTGCTCCCATTCAAAGTCGGCCATGCCCCGTCCGTCCTGAGATGATGTTTGCAAAAGGTGCCGCTTGATACACGGCTGCCATTGTAGGTCAGACAAATTGGAATAGCAAAACAAACCCTACGGCACAAAGCTTGTGGGCAATTGTGCAACAAAAAACTCCAACGATACCGTCCTGTGAGACACAAGAACCTGTCAAAACTTAGGCTGGAGGAAAAAAACAACTGTAGTGATAGAGTCCTATTGTCATTTCACAGATGGAAGGATAGGGACCCCTGTTTGAACATGGCCCAGTTTGGTTCGCTCGCTCTTCGAGCGCTCGAGCCTCTTCCAAGACTCCCACCAGACTTCCAGCGTGGACAGGTCGCCTAAGAAACCCATTCCAAAAGCCATGGGCGAGCGCGGCTCCGTTCTTCTTGAGGGTGCCACTTCTTGGGTGGTTAAAAAAAGGCAAACCACAGGAAAACATGATTTATCTATTTTTTTGCTGGTGGGGGGGTCCCATTTTTCGACACACCCATGTGGATGGGCATGGCTTCCCGGAGATTGACGAGATTGCCCACCCTGAAACTCTTCACAAATCACATTTGATAAGGATCCTAACCTTCGTCCAATTCTCTCACTCCATGCCAAGCTCTATTCTCATCCAGGTGTGTCCTTATTCATTTCTAAGGACGCCAAAGGTAGTGATTTACCCTTTGGTCCTCCTCTAACACTCCATCCCGAGCACCGGCTTCACAGCTTAGCGGCACATGCGGCAGTGAATCCCAGAGCGCTGGATAAAACATCTGGCTGGTTGCGCCCTTTGCAGGCATGCCGTAAAGGTGGGCTTGCCTAAGATTTTGGGCGAAATCCAAATTTGTTGGGGCAGTTTGAGGGTCCAAAATGCAAGTGTTGAGCCTCACAATGACCTCGGTCGAACTTGACAAACATGACGAACACGATGTGACACGAGGCCCGATGCGAGCAAGCAGCCCAGGTAGTTGTTGATGACCTTGGCAACAGAGGGCCCCACCGGGGCATTCCCATAACTTTCTCGCTGAGGATTTTTTTTTTTGAAACCCAGTCACAGATGTCTCTGAAAGTCAAATTGGCCAAAGCCCCAAGCTTGCCATACAGACTTGGTTGTTTCACAAAACCTGCACCCTCCAAAGATTCGTGGGTTTCCAGTTGCGCACTGAACCACCAAACTTCCCAAGGTCCCGGCCGTGGGCCGGCACGCCGGCGGGGGCTTGTACTCGCTGGGAGCGCGCGTGACCACGTGGATCCTGGCCCCAAAACCCAAGGGCTTCATGAAACCTCCAGGGGGTCCACGTCAACTTGATGGGTCTGTCTTGGAGTTGGGAAACCACCATGTAGGGGGTCTCTAAAAAAAGCGTCGCTCCCTTTGGGGGTCCCTGAATAAATGAGGCAAACCCAGGTAGCGCAAACCGTATTGAAGAAGCGCTCCGTGAATCTGCAAGACTTGAATTGAGGGATGTGAAGGCTTTCCCGCGCAACCAAGCCTCGACTCAGGGCACACAGCTCGTCCCGTGGGGCAATGCAAAGGACCTCCCAAATATGACTGTAAACAGTCGAAAGAAGAACAGCCCGAACTCAGGCTTGATTGCCATTCGTCTGATGGGCGGTGCAAAGTTGAACGTCTTCGCAACTCATATGAAGCTGGAAGCCACCTGCTCCGTTTTTTTTGATCTTCAGGGCATTTTCCGGTGCGCGCTTCGGATCGTTAGATACATATATATATATATATAGTGAGAAATATATATATATAGAGATAGTGAGAAGAACAAAAAAAAAAAAAGGAAAAACAACGAAGAAAAACAAATGAATAAAAACGAAGACTCCGCTGGGCGCGCGTGTTGGTGATGCGGTCGGGCATGGAGATGAGGCGCTTGGCTCCCAGGGACTTGTCCTTAAGGAAGTCGGAGACCTAACTCGCGGATCGTCGGAGTCAACAAATGCGCGCGATCATAGGTGTCCTGCTAGGTTGCAAATAGATGGGGAAACCCCTGGTAGATGAGCAAAAACCACCAGGTAGACCAGTTGAATCGCCATCTAATTATATTTTTCGAGCGAAACAACCAAGAAGGCCACCTGTGCGCGCCATCGATCCGGGCCCTGAGACATGGCAAAAATGTCCCGCTTTTTGTGAGCGTCTCCAATTTGGCTTCCTAGGGAAGTCCCAGGTTTGGATTCCATTTCTCGTGCCCATCTCTCGCAGCAAGAAAATGGTCCCGGTGAGGGGCAGTGGGCTGGTCGAATTGACCCAAACAGGTGGCCAAAAATCATCATGCCGTCTGCTTGAGGTGGCCTTCGATGCAAAATCCGGGGAGAAAAAAAGCGGTTTGCCGGCGCCCAACCTTCCCAGTACGGGCCCCTGAATCATTGGAATGTGAATGTCGTCAGACAGGGGATTTTTGTCTACCCCAAAGCACAAAGGGCAGCCAAGCGCCCGATCCGGGCCCTGACAAAGCGGCGATGCGCCGCTTGCGCAGCCCAAGATCTCCGTGCCACATGGACTCCTGATCGGGAGTCGGGATCCCACTGGAGGTCACCCCCCCCTTTCTGTGGTTCTCTTTATTTGTCTGTTCTAGGATTCCCCAACCATGGTTGTTTTCGAAAACTAGATGTTTCCCCTGGGATTTGGATACGGTAAGGTACCTCTAGATTTGTGGGGAAGCCAAAGAGACCACCAAAGAATGGGGGTGGGTTCCCAAAAAGTGAGTGCAAAACCAGGAAAGAAAGGGGTTGAACCCGAACGGGAGCCGCAAAAGCCCGAGGGAATTCAGAGGCCCCCGCTGCTGAACTCTCGACAGAAACCCGGAAAGTTGCCTCCCCGCAATGAGATACTTCCCAGATTGCACATAGAGGAAACTCCTTTTGGGAATCGGGCGAGCCGTTTCTTTGGGCTCCTTCCGTTCACTTGTCAAAGGAAGTTTAGAAGGAACTTCCGTGTTACGGCAACTAATTGAAAGCTAGCTCTCTCAGACAAATGACAAGAGAAGGAATAAGCCCACGAGGAAAAACGCGCGCGCGCGCGTGTGGCAGGGGAAGAGAAAGTCGCAAAAAAACATGGCCCTGTGCGTGAATCGGCGTTTTCGGAGATGAGAAAGTCGCAAAAAACGTGGCCCTGTGCGCGAATCGGCATCTCCGCAGATGCGAAAGCTAGCCTGTCCGCGGCGTCTGGTCGGAGCGGGCTCGGAGCGGTCTCGGATCACGTTCGGCGCCGGGCCCATTGGTACGGCAACGCAGAGGTTTCGCAGGGTTTGAGTTGCGTGGCAGGCGCAGCATTTTGGCAAGGTCGGGTGCAGATTTCGTGGCAGGCGCAGCATTTTCGCAAGGTCAAGTTTTCCCAAGGTTTGAATTGCGTGGCAGGCGCAGCACTTTCAAAAGGTCAGGTGCAGATTTCAAGGCAGGCGCAGCACTTTCGCAAGGTCAAGTGTAGATTTCGTGGCAGGCGCAGCACTTTCGCAAGGTCAAGTGCCAAATTCGTGGCAGGCGCAGCACTTTCGCAAGGTCAAGTACAGATTTCGTGGCAGGCGCAGCAGGTTCGCAAGGTCAAGCGCCAAATTCGTGGCAGGCGCAGCACTTTCACAAGGTCAAGTACAGATTTCGTGGCAGGCGCAGCACGTTCGCAAGGTCAAGCGCCAAGTTCGTGGCAGGCGCAGCACTTTCACAAGGTCAAGTACAGATTTCGTGGCAGGCACAGCACTTTCGCTAGTTTTGGCACAGATCGATAGATAGATAGATAGATAGATAGATAGATAGATAGATAAATAGACTAGATAGATAAACAGAGAGAGAGATAGATAGATGCATAGATAGATAGACGGTTAGATAGATAGATAGATAGATAGAAAAAGATAAAGAAAACAGAGAGATAGATAGCTAGATAGATAGCTAGATAGATAGAAAGAGAGATCGATAGATAGATAGATAGATAGATAGATAGATAGATAGATAGATAAATAGATAAATAGAAAGATAGATAGATAGATAAATAGAGAGAAAGATAGACAAATAGATGGAAATATAGATAAAAGAGATAGGTAGAGAGATAGATAGATAGAGAGATAGACGGATAGATAGATACATGAAAGATAGAGAAAATAGAGATAGATAGATAGATAGATAGATAGATAGATAGATAGATAGATAGATAGATACACAGATAGATAGATAGATAGATAGAGAGATAGATAGATAGATAAATAAGTAGATAGATATATAGATAGATAGGTAGGGAGATAGATAGATAGATAGGTAGAGAGATAGATAGATACACAAGAGATAGATGGAGAGAGAGAGAAAGAGAGAGAGAGATGGATGGATAGATAAATAGATAGATAGGTAGATAGATAGATAGAGAGATAGAAAGATAGAAAGATAGAAAGATAGATACATAGATAGATACAAATAGGTAGATAGATAGCAAAATAGATAGATAGGTAGATAGATAAATTAAAGGACCGGATAACCCCACATGCTATGTTTTTGCCAAGGATGTGAGTTCAAATGTCCACACACATGTACCGTGCGCCCCTTGTATGGATGCGATTACAGAGCAGGTCTAGCGCGCTCTTTTTAATCGCAGGCGTTGCTAACCTACTGCAGCCCGAGCCGCTAATCAACAAAACAAAGCAAGTTCGAGACATTCTCGAACTTAGTCCATCTTGTTAGATTATTGGCTGCGCCGCACGTGCATCTCAGGAGGTCATCTTGCAGGAACCTGCAGGGCCTGCCTTCCTGAAAGGTTCCAATGAAGGTGCGCGCTGCGGCTGGAATGTCGACAGAACGCGGACCGCTCCGCCTACATCCTGTCCCGTTAGACAGCTGCCGAACGCTGCGCCTGCCACGATTTCGCACGCCCCCCGCCGCGCGCGCGACAACATCCTGTCCTTTTAGACAGCTGCCAAATGCTGCCCCTGCCACACAAACACACACCCAGATGCACAGAATGCTGCGCCTGCCACGACTTCGGCAACGGCATCGCCAAAGTGCTGCGCCTGCCACGATTTCGCACGCCCCCCGCCGCGCGCGCGCCAATATCCTGTCCCTTTAGACAGCCGCAAATTTCTGCCCCTGCCACACAAACACACACCCAGATGCACAGAATGCTGCGCCTGCCACGACTTCGGCAATGGCATCTCCACACCCAGATGCACAGAATGCAGCGCCTGCCACGACAGAGGCAACGGCATCGCCAAAGTGCTGCGCCTGCCACGATTTCGCACGCCCCCCGCCGCGCGCGCGACAACATCCTGTCCCTCTAGACAGCTGCCGTGAGTCAGCGAGTGTGAGTGAGTGAGTGAGCGAGTGAGTGAGTGAGTGAGTGAATGAGAGTGAGTGAATGAGAGTGTGAGTGAGTGAGTGTGAGTGAGTGAGTGTGAGTGAGTGTGAGTGAGTGAGTGTGAGTGAGTGAGTGTGAGTGAGCGTGAGTGAGTGTGAGTGAGTGAGTGTGAGTTGAGTGAGTGTAAGTGAGTGAGTGAGAGTGAGTGAGTGAGTGAGTGAGTGAGTGAGACAGTGATGAGGAGGGAGGGCGGGAGGAGGAGGAGAAGGAGACGCGGCGCGCGGACGACGAGCGGTAAAAGTAAGAACCCCACACAAAGATGTGGGGAACAAACGTCCAACGGCAACGCTCTCAAGAAAGAACATATCGCAGCCCAAATGCCTCCGAGCCCGCAACGACATGCGGACACAAAGACTCCATGCGCAGAAACGCATTCCGATAGCTCTGCACTCCGTGCATTTCGTCGATGTGGGCCATGAGCTCTTCGCGCACTCGAAATGCCACACCATCACAGAGAAGACAAGGCTGCTCGGCAATTTGAACCGGACGTTGGGGCCACACCCTCAGCGTCTCCTTCTCCTGGCGTGGACGAAGGCGAGCACGATGCTGGAAGCGCTTGAATGGATTATCGACGTCGTTGGCTGCGTCGGCTCGTCCACCATCCAGATTGCCGCACCGCGCGGCGGCAGAAAATACCGCCGTCTGCCGACGAGTCGCTTCGCGACCACGGCGAATGTCTTCGCGCCTAGCCTCCAGCCGCCTCCGCTTCTGCTCCTGGTCTAGACAGCTGCCGAATGCGACCCCTGCCACACAAACACACACCCAGATGCACAGAATGCTGCGCCTGCCACGACTTCGGCAACGGCATCGCCAAAGTGCTGCGCCTGCCACGATTTCGCAACGGCATCGCTCAAAGTGCTGCGCCTGCCACGATTTCGCACGCCCCCCGCCGCGCGCGCGACAACACTCTAGACAGCTGCCGAATGCGACCCCTGCCACAAAAACACACCCAGATGCACAGAATGCTGCGCCTGCCACGACTTCGGCAACGGCATCGCCAAAGTGCTGCGCCTGCCACGATTTCGCAACGGCATCGCCAAAGCGCTGCGCCTGCCACGATTTCGCACGCCCCCCGCCGCGCGCGCGACAACATCCTGTCCCTCTAGACAGCTGCCGAATGCGACCCCTGCCACACAAACACACACCCAGATGCACAGAATGCTGCTCCTGCCACGACTTCGGCAACGGCATCGCCAAAGTGCTGCGCCTGCCACGATTTCGCAACGGCATCGCCAAAGTGCTGCGCCTGCCACGATTTCGCACGCCCCCCGCCGCGCGCGCGACAACATCCTCTCCCTCTAGACAGCTGCCGAATGCGACCCCTGCCACACAAACACACACCCAGATGCACAGAATGCTGCGCCTGCCACGACTTCGGCAACGGCATCGCCAAAGTGCTGCGCCTGCCACGATTTCGCAACGGCATCGCCAAAGTGCTGCGCCTGCCACGATTTCGCACGCCCCCCGCCGCGCGCTCGACAACATCCTGTCCCTCTAGACAGCTGCCGAATGCGACCCCTGCCACACAAACACACACCCAGATGCACAGAATGCTGCGCCTGCCACGACTTCGGCAACGGCATCGCCAAAGTGCTGCGCCTGCCACGATTTCGCAACGGCAGCGCCAAAGTGCTGCGCCTGCCACCATTTCGCACGCCCCCCGCCGCGCGCGCGACAACATCCTGTCCCTCTAGGACTACACAGATGCACAGAATGCTGCGCCTGCCACGACTTCGGCAACGGCATCGCCAAAGTGCTGCGCCTGCCACGATTTCGCAACGGCAGCGCCAAAGTGCTGCGCCTGCCACCATTTCGCACGCCCCCCGCCGCGCGCGCGACAACATCCTGTCCCTCTAGACAGCTGCCGAATGCGACCCCTGCCACACAAACACACACCCAGATGCACAGAATGCTGCGC